TTGTGATGTTTTTATCAGCTGTTTGGACTCTCATTCTGACGGCACCCATTCACTGCAGAGCATCCACTGGTGAGCAAGAGATGCAATGCTACATTGTGAGCACATTTTAGCAAATTTTCATTTTTGGGTCAACTATTCATTTATGTTAGTTAACTAATGGAACCTTGTGCTTGATTTGATTCTGGTAAATTCTGGATCTAAAATCCAGCTGCACCATTCACTCATGCAGTCTGTGTGTTTCTTAGCACACTCCGAGTCAAATAAACCACAGGAGTTTCCCCTCGACCTGCGTTTGCTCTCAGCGTGAGGGATGTGTGTGTACGTGCTTCTACACGTCCCTCGCGCTCTCTCTGTCCTCTTTTCCCGCCACGCCCGTCTCTGGACAAACAATGTCCTTTTTATGGCTGAGTCGCTGTGCGCTAACACACACGAGTGTCTCGACAGGACACAACTCAACCTTATCTTCTGCTCGTTTGCTGTTTTGGTCCATGTCATTTTGTCCCCAAAGTCCTTTATTCTGCACATTTTTAGAAAAGTCATTTTAAAGACATCAAATCATGTCCATGTGTGTGAAATAACTAAAGATTATTGGCTGTTGGGTAAGAAATAAACAAGAAACAGTCTTACTGATGAAAGCAAACGTGAGTTTGGTGTTGATTCGGCAGGACTCCTACAGGAAGCAGGTGGTGATTGACGGGGAGACGTGTCTCCTGGACATCTTGGACACTGCAGGTCAGGAGGAGTACAGCGCCATGAGGGACCAGTACATGAGGACAGGAGAGGGCTTCCTCTGTGTGTTTGCCATCAATAACACCAAGTCCTTTGAGGACATTCATCAGTACAGGTGTGTGTGTGTGTGTGTGTGTGTTTAAAAATCAGCTGTCAGCTGTCTGCGGTTTTTCACTCTTTGGAATTTGCCCTCAAAATAACCCTCACATATCTTTAATTATATGTTATATGTTGAAAATGGATATTAGAAGATTTTTATTTTTTTGCTGTGTTTCCTTTAAGTTTTCTGTATGTAAATAATTCTGTTATGATTGGCTAACCTTTTTAAATGTGAAATAAGGTAATTGGTGTTGATTGTGTCAATTAGGAGGTCAAATGTCGGTGTGCTTTTGGTTGTGATCATGTTTGAACATGCCGTTTAAAAGCGCAGTCACATTAGCAAAGTTTCAGTGAAATTTTTGTATGAAAGGTCCATTGTCTTTTGTCTGTAGGGTAGCGATGTTTTAAGCACAGCTCACAGAAGTCACATTTAAACCATGCAGCTTTCTATTGGTCATTGCGACGGATTTGCGTGACAAATTTGAAACTGTTGCGAAATCTGAATTTCACATGAAATTCCTAATTGCAAACTTTTATATAGCAGGTACTGGATTTCGCCCTTGAAAATACACCGAAATTTTCACGATAAATGCGACCGCACATTAAAGGCACAATATGTAATTTTTGCCACTAGAGGGCACATATTCAAAAGAAACAAAGGCGTAGTTTGATGACGCTGTGACTGAGTGTGGAATCATGGGAGTTGTCGTCTTCATCCCCACAGCCGATGCAATCCGACGGGACTCGGGCAGAAATCATGTTCATGGATGAGCTAATGATTTATTAACATAGTAGAATGAAGCAGGGTGAGGCTGAAAGCCGTCGAAGCGAAACGAGGCCCCTGAACGAGCGTGACACACGACTTGAAAGCAGCGGAGCTTTTATTATGCCACAGTCAACCGCTTCCGCTGCTTCCGGTCGTGCGTATGTGGGGAAAAAAAGCAGCGCTGTTTTATCATACTAGAT